AGGCTTAGTTACAGCGGGGTAGTAGCCTGCAACTGACCACTGACTTCTGGCTTCGACATTTGCATAAAAGCCATTAAGGAAATGTAACTTAAAGGCAGGGTTATGTTCAAAGCAAACTGCCTTCTCAGCAAAGTGACAATGACCATAGGCCAGTAAGAGTGCTCCCAGGAGAGGTAAAGAGGAGACTATCTGGGGGGAGGGGGGCGGCGCAAAGAAGTGAGAGGGTTTCAGGGACTGAACTTAATAGTTTCAATTCCCGACTTCCTTAACTGAAAGGCATAAATATGGTGACCATATTTGCTGAATCTAAAGTGCATTTAACATTTGGATTATCCCCTAAAATGTAAGGACATATCATCATGGTCTAGAGAAGACCATGGATATATTTGGAAAGGTAGGAAAGGTAGAACACATCTTTAATTTGGATTTTTGCCTTCTCCCCTAAACTGGAGCAATTTAACTCTTTCTTAGGGGCTTTCCCAGCAGTAGTAAGGCTGGAGGCACCAGAGGACAGACAGCACAATATGAAATAAGTCATCTTCATTCAAACATTGGCCTGGCGTTAGTAGAATGAATTAGGTGGTTGGTCGTTTTTCTCCCAAACCCAGGATCCAATGACTCCAGCATTTGGAAGGTAATGGAATTGAAGGTTTCTGAAGCTGTCTGGTTCTTTGGACAAACTTCCTAGCATAAGGGACCTTGTCTGATGACTGAGGTGACTCTCATTCCGGGTATGGGCAGAAAATCTAACTCTGTCTCCAGCGTTCACTGATTTGATCCACCCTCACTGATAGATGAGTGCTGGAGAGCAGTGAGCAGGGCTCTCCAAGGCAGATGGGGCAGGAGGCAGCCTTTCTGGACCCAGGGAGGCCGGGAAGATTCCCATTTTCACTGAGCCAGAACAATCACTGACTGCTCCCATCTCCCCAGATCATGTGCAGGCTGGGGATATCAGTAACACGGATACTGCTGTGGCTCACGTAATGGGAATAATTCAGAATGTCTTCTGTCTTCATATTACCCTGGATTCAGCACGAAAGAGGCTAGAGAGTAAAAAGGAGTTTCCAGGAATATTGTCCCATCTTTTCCATGCACAGCCTTGATCATAAGAGACAGTTTTATGGATGTGTGTCCTGTTCCCCTTTACTTCCTTTCAGTCATTGTTGGTACCTCCAAAACAAGTGGGCCAAGGGAAGGAGAGAAAAACTAAAACCTGCTACAGTTTTCCATCCTTTTAAATGCCCACAGAGCAAAGAGGCAAAAACTAATGTTTGTAATTTTAAGATAAACCGTGGCCCTGTCCCCCGGCATATGTATTCTTCACTGGCTGGTGCAGGTAACAGAGCATCCCCACTACGGTATCCTGTTCTGGGGTGGTTTGGACTGTGGGTCTCATATACACAAATTGGCTACATGTTCTAGGGTGGCTTTTAGACTGGATACAGCCTACCAACTGAGTAATTCTCTTGGGTGAGTGATGGAAAACCAATTTTTAAAAATCTAATCAGTACCATAAACTATAGGAAAAGTACGATCAAGGGCATAGAGAACTGAACTAAATACAAATACAGTTTATCTTTTATTCAGAGAGAAAAAAAGTTACATTTACCCATTTACCTGGCTTATAAATTAAGAACTGAGAACACAAGAAATCACTAAATAAATGACTAAACATTTGGGAGGCTGGGGAAGGAGAAAAGTATCAAAAACTACTTACTACAGTGGAAAGGAACCAGTGCTGGCCACTCTACAGTGAGAAACCTGGGGGAGGTGACTCATACAAAGCAGCCACAGCAGCAGCCCCGGGGCAAGCCCAGGACTGTGCAGGAAGATGCCCTGTGCACGCGTGTAACCTCTCAGGAGGGGGCCTGGAAGTCTGAGAGGGGCAAGGACAGCCTAAACACACAGAAGAGGCTAGAAAAGGGGATGACGATGGCAGAGACAGAGGAGGAAGCAGAGATATAGAAGAAAACTTGGGGGAAGGATAGAGGAAGAAGCAGTGAGCATATGGATGAATATTAACTCATTCATTCAAAATACCAGCCTTTCAAAAATATTAACTCAAAACAGACTCCAATTTTTCAATTCACTTGTTTTGAGTCACCTTAAGTTACTGCTGCCCATTCAATTGTTCCTCAACTGCTCTCATTTAAAAAAAAAATTCTCAAGAATACAATATATTGTTACCACAGTCACCATATTGTACAGTAGGTCTCTTGAATTTATTCCTATCTGAAATTTTGTTGCTCTAAATTCTTCAATCTTGAAAGGGTCAGCTCCTAGGGCTCACTGAAATTTAGCTTTCTGGCAAAGGAAAATACACCTGTGGGCTGGAAGATATCAAAGAACCACATGTTCCAACTTCTAAGCCAGAAAATTCAAGGACACATGGCTGCTTGTTCAGTTCTAAGCCAGATACTGCTTAAAACTGTTGTAGAGAGGAGTCTCGTTGGTCGACCAGCAGGCCACAGGCATCTGGCTTTTAGCACTCCACATTTGCTACTAATAATGATCAGTCAATAATCTTTGAAATCATCACATGTTGGCAAGTTTTCTATAATAAGTTATTGACTTCTCAAAGAGAGAACTTTGTGTTGGTTCAACCCAGCTGTCTTCTATAAGTTGATCAGACATTTGTTTAGTGTAGTAACATCTGACCGGCTTTCCAGATACTTTATTCTTCTTGGCTTCACAAGCTAAAACCACTGTGGCTCCAGGTGTGTTCTACTTAATGGAGAAACTGATTGGAAGGCGTCCCTCATGAACCTCATATAAATCACAATTCTCCCAAGCAGTTGTCCCAAGAACTAATGGTGACCTGGACAGAGCTGTGATACATTCAACAGGGAGGTTGCTAAAGTTGTAGCAAAGGCCATCATCTCATCCTTTTATTTCTGCCAAAGTGCTGTCTTTTTCCCCTTAAAGCCATCATCTTTATCAGAATGACAAATTAATAACCAGTGCTGGGAGAGAGATGGCTGACAACCCCCCTTACCCCCCAGCCTCAATCCCCATGGATTTAACCAGCTTTAAATGCCTGACTCTTCAGTGCTGCATTTCACTGCCAATGACAAGACTGGCTGCTGGGATATGCCAAGTTCTTGGCTCTGTGTTGCAAAACAAAACAGTATAGGAGGGAATTTGTGAGTTAGCTGACTTGCAAACACTACAGCAAGTCACTGTGTAAACATTTGTTTTTGTGTACCTATTATTTCCCTCCGGCAGTTACCTGGATGCCATCCTGTGACAGTGCCAACATGTGCTTCTCAAGTTACCAATGATCCCTTCATTCACACTTATGAACGCAGCTCATTTTGCACCATTTTTTTTAAAAAACCACCCCCAAACACAAAACCTTCGTTAAACAGTAATCACAGAGTATCTCAGTAATTATGGTAGGAGAGTCTCCATTGTCACCCAGAATCAACATCAGGTTTGCAGGTGTGTTCCCAAGTGTATGTGAAGATGTCATTCAGATGGAGCCAACTCAGGCACTTGGATGAAGCAGCAGCTACAATTACATTTACATGGGTTGACTGAAATTGTCTTATCACAAGTTCATCCCAACAACAACATGTACTGGGTCTGACTGCATGTAAGTGGTAATAAGCATGTGATGCTTCACCATAAGCTTAAAAACTAGGTTCGTCCATTGGCCTCTGTCAGGTGAGGGCCATTGTTGGAATCCTGCTGATGTAGCCAATTGTATGGCTAGGCAATTCATAACTAAAGCCAAAATGTTTCATTGCTTTAGTTACATTAAGTTTTCCATTTGTATTGTCAGGTTTAGGGGTTAGGGCCCACAGACCCTTCAAACCCGTTGTACAGAGTGAGTCACAGATCCCTCACATGCCAGGCTGGGTCACCAGACCCCTCACACGCAGGTCCATGCTAGGCAATTGGGGAAGATCCTGGGAGCCTTTGGCAGACGACATAAGCTCAGTCCTCAGGTTCTTTAGCAGCAGCAGGAGCAGCAGCTTACAGATCCAGCAGCAGCAGCGGTGGCAGCTTATAGCAGATCTGGCAGCAACAGCAGCAGTGGCAGCCTCCCCATGGCCCCCTGGGGGCATCCCGGGGGCAGGGGGCACTGTGGACCAGAGCCACTCATCCTTCATTCTTAAGTCCACAACCCAGGACACCTGGGTGCACATGCACACTTATGTTAGAAAATAATCAAGGGACACCTGGGCACACGTGCTTATTTATTTACATCAAATGCTTGGCAAGATTCTGAACATCTGAGGGGCCCTGACCATTTTCCTTTACTTTCCCTATAGCCTCTTTTTCACAGTCAAAGAAATGGAGGCTTAATACGGTTGGGAGACCTGGTTAGGAGAGTTGGTTAAGTCCCTCTGCTGGTACATAGCAGAATTAGAGTTTGAACATAGACACACCTTATTCCAGAGTCTGTATTCTTAATCATTTTGCTAAATTCTCTAACTAAATAAAAATGAGATAAAAATTCTACAGGAAAAAAGACACTTAGATGACTTAGATGAAATAGGAGGGCATCTTCTCCTATTTCCCAGAAGGACCTTCCCATTTGGCCTGTATGAGCACATATTTCTGACTCACTCATATCCACGGTGGAAGTACCAATCCTCTTGGAAAAGAAAGTTATAGTCAGGGACTTTTAATGGAATTAGAAAGAAAAACATTCTAAGAGTTGACCTTTTTTTTAAAAAAACACTTTCTTAGTATTGTAGGGTCAGAAGGGTCTAACCACGGTTATCTAATCTAGTTCTTGCCCCAGGTAGGATGACTTAAGTCATCCCAAAGAAGCTAAGGTTCGAGCAATTTGTAAAGATCTTACTGAATTCTACCTGAGAGGCATGTTATAAGTATCACCTACGTGTCTGAGGCTCTGTAAAGTGCTTTGGAGCTTTTAAGAGGAAAGGTACAGTGTAAACACAAATTAATAACAATATAGATCAACTCAGTTCCCATAAGCATAACATCTACCCAGCAGAGGAGTACGCAAAGCCAAGCGACAATGCCAGTCTGTGTCAGAAAATATATTTATTGTTGACAGTGAAGTAAAGACGTCAATATTCACGATAGAGGCTGTATAAGCCAAGGTTGCCTTTATATTGATAAAAATGCCTTATTTCACCTGTAATCATAAACATTATTCCAGTGAGAGGTACATTTTTCTCTCCTTTTGGCCTTCTTACTTGCATGATCACCATAATAAGTTAAAATGAAATAGCTCTTATGTAATCAAAGTAGAAAAGAAAAAGAAAGAAAACCAACATGCCACAGCCCAGACAATTCCATCCAGCACTGTTGCCCCAGAATCAATGCTTTTTTTTCCCCCCTCTCTCCTTTCTCCACTCAATTCACTCAGCCCCTCAACCCCCACCCCACTTTGTTAGAGTGGAGGTTCACCAAATGATGGAGCTTGGTTAGAAGAGAAACATTTTATGGTCAGTAGAAGTTGAACAGAAAGTACAAAAAGGTGGAAAGGGCTGCCCCTGTCTTTTAATCATTGCAAGTGGGGTTCAGTAATATTGAACGATGTTCTTTGATGAACGATCTAGGCCTTGACTTTTCAAACTGCAGCTGATCAAAACTTGAAATGATTCCGTTGAATCCGTTTTCCAGTACTTCTCTTTAATAATGATCTTCTCTTTAAATGAGTTATTTTCTTACTAGGAAAAAAAATGTTCCACCTCTGGAATTAACGTTGAAGGAGTTTTGTGTGTTTTAAAAGTTGATTTTAACCTCCTTTCTCAAGCATGCTCTGCAACAGAAATAGAAAGCATAAGTTTTACCACCAGGAGGAGAGGGCAAAAAAATGGCCATAACTATTTAGTATGATTTGTATTGCTTTTCAAATATCTACTTCAAAAACACATAAAAAAGGCAAATGCTTCCTGGTCTGAAAATACTACTACTTTAATGAACACCACCATTTTATCAAGAATAATCTCCAAATGACCCCTCCACACACCATACAAGCTGAAAACCCTAAGGATGGACACAGCCTCAATCACGGGGGTGGAGTGGGACTGTGTGTGCCATCTCACTACCAGTGGCATTCAGAATGTTGGGAGCATTCAGAAATTTCTGGTGGCCATACTGATTGGGGGGAAGTTATTGCTAAGGAAGTGCATGGAGTGGGGGAGGGAAGAGGGCAGTGCATGGGAGTTAAACCCCAAGGGCTCTAAGAGGGCTTCTCTCAACTGAATCTCTCATATTCCCTCCCAGAGACTGCTGCACAAAAAACAGATATAAAAGCAGACCAACTAGCTTAAAGAACACACAGAAATGTTCAGAAAAGACAATGATTCAGTCAAATAGGAAGTAAATTGGAAAAACTAGGCGTGTCCAGAGAAAACAGGAAGACAAAGTAGATTAAGTGGATAAGTGGAAGCCTTTGGAAGACTGCTCAGCAGAGAGTTGTCCTGCAGATCTAACACCAGAATGTGAGGCATCTCTCAAACATCCATATGAGCTCTGTGTTTGTTAGGAAAATAAAACATTGAGCACCTACCATGTAGGAGTCAGACACTGCCTGGCAATGTCATGCTGTCATCAAATCTCATCTATCCTCACCACCTTGGGACTTGTCTGAGTGAAAGTCTCAATTAAATGTATGGGAAGCTCTACAAATTCTTGATATATAGACAACTTCACCACAATATTCTTCATTAAATACAAAATGGAAGCCCAAAGCAGATCTATACTGAGCCCATCTAAAGGCATTTAATTTCTGAAGAAAGTGATCCCTTTATGAGTAATGCCACTTTCCATTTTGGGAGTTATAGATTCATTACATTCTTCAAAACACTGAAGGGAACTTTAAAAGGTGTTATCTTCCTGGTCAAGATTCCATGGCTGTGCCTCTCCCTTCAACGTAGGTTTCATGGGAGATAAGGACAGCCATGTGATAATGCACCTCTTTTCAAAGGTTGCAAAAAAATCTGGAGCTAACATAATTAAAGCAATGATTAAAGTGTTTTCCGAGAGTCTAAAAATTCTTTTTACTATTCTTCTTCCTGCACCCCCGATCAAATACTGATGGGTAATTCTTCAGCCAAATCATATAATGCTAACATTGTTAAACTCTCTTTGAGAAAGAGAGACAAGCTGGGCCCTGGCTGGTTTGAGGATGTGCAGGCCAGTCTAACATAAAGACACTATTAGAATACATGTGAGGCAAATATAAAGCATAGAGAAATTATGTTTCAATAACCCGTCTAAACCACATTCATAAAATACCCAGCTACACGTATTAAAATTTTAACCCTCAAAAACACAGTGTTTCAGGATTCATGTGTGACTCCTTGAAGACACAGGGACCACAGGAAAGCTCCAGGGCTAGTCTATAAATATTCTGACAAGCTGCATTCAGTTATTACCAAAGGATGGCAAAGGTGGCACAAAATCACCTCAGTTCTATCAGAGACATTAACCAATACAACATCAAGGTGAATTTTAAAACAGATGAATAAATTGGTAGAACACTCTGTGTTGTTATTACATCACAGCTGTGCAATAAAACCTGCTCAAACCCAGATCCAAGGGCCCTTGGCTGGAGGGATCCTTATGCCTCCTGGTAGGGTCTGTGTTATTTAGCTTCCACCTTATAGGTTCTCCTACAATCTCTGCATCGGTTCTGTAAGTAGCTGCTGTTGGGCTGAATTTCAACACTGCATAAATTTAACACTGCATAAATTAACATAGGAAATTCCCTGAGAGTTATAAAAAATTGCTTCCTTCATTTAAGGAAGTGCTAACGTTTAATCCTAACGTGGAATCCTAACGTGGATAAAGAAATTCCTTGCCTCTGCTCATCATTCAGATACGTGGGCCTGCAGGAGTTCCTTTCACAAACAACTGGGTAAATTACCAAAAGGAAAGGATGGTTCAGACATCAGTGGTGCTCTTTTCCCAAGTCTCTTTCTGATTCCAGCCACTGAGGAACAGCTGGCAGCTTACACTGTCAGACAAGAACAGTGCCCCCGGAGACCTGAGATTGTGTGTCATTTCCACTTATTAAAATGATCTTAACCACTTTCCTCAAATATTTTTGTTACACAGTAATCTCACAACTGACTTCTGAATTACAGCTTTCTTGGAGGGGTTGACTATCACAGCAGTGTGCCAGCTACTGGGTGTCTCAATATATTTAAGAGAAATTATGGCAACCTTAGGATGATGAACAATCATTATTAAAAGAATAAAAGAGAAAAAAAAAAATATATATATATATAAGGTACCAGAGGGCTTGTCTACAGATGAGCTAACCCAGCACCTCCCCGAGATTTCAGACCTAATAAAGCTGGGTATAGAAACAGAAGGTTTACATAACCATGAGGCAAACCGGAATGGGAACGTGTCCTGGGTCAGACACAGCCTCAGTAGCTGAGTCTTTACTAAGGAGGGAAAGGAAAAGTGGGCAGTGGATGAGAATGAAGCTGCAATGAGGAAAAAGACAGAATGAGAAGATTGTGAGACAGGAAGGGAAAGTAATGTATAAATTCGATTTACGAGAAGCACAAAGTGAGCTTTGCCTGTGCGCCAAGTACTGCTCCTCACTACAGCAAATCTGATTAGCTAACTTATTTTGCTCTCAATATCTGTCTATTACCCCCAAGCAACCGCTGTTCTTTATTCTTCCTGCTTTGGTGGAAACACAAGTTAACTTTTTTCTGCTTGATCTTGTTTCATATCTTCTATGACAAACGATCTGTATAATATTCAAATTCAGTTACAAGTAATTAACTGTTTATACAACTTGCTGCAATAACAGACAGAAAACATACTGCAGTTCTAACTCTTGAAGGATGAGCACTAGAAAAGAAACACCTATTAAGAAAAATGAAAATCTATTACCATGGTAGTATTTCTTCTATTAAACTCAGATTAAAAAAAGAGAAAATGTCATAAAGCAACCACTACTCTCAGAAAGTGGTTTAGAAAAGGATTCCTATGATGGAAGAGGCTGGGATAACAAATTTAAAGTTTGGAATTTAGTTTGCTTTGATGTGACTCCAAATTCGAAGGGCCGTAGCACCAAAGGATGGGAAATCTATCATGAGACACCCACGTGTCATCCTGTGTACTAGCAGCCCAGCTGGGCAATTAATAAATGTCATTAGGTGATGATGATAAAGAGCCTTCAAACACACAAAAAATGTTCTCATTGGTCTTCCCAGAAAGTTAACCTTCTTGACTTATCTTTGTAGTCTCTGAAGGTGGGCACTGGGCTGTGATTAGGGTCAGTGGAAGGGAACAGTAGGGCTGAGGGAAGGTCTGGTCACAACTGCAAGTTAGCCAGGGGACCGTATCACCTCGGCTCAGTGCCTTTTCCCGCCCTTCCTCCTACAAACACCAGGTATGGCTCCTCACCCAGGATTACCTACAGTCTCAATAGGAGCAAAAGGAGGGGAGAAGAGGACTTTTTCAACAGCTCCTGCCCTCTTTCCAAGCTATCTTCCAATTTGTTCCTGAGGCTAAAGACACATCCTAGCGTTGATCTGATCAGACCTCTGCCGGATGGCTCTGACATATAGATGGCTCCTCACCTCTGGAAAGGTTGGAGAACAAAGACTTGGCAGGACCCCTGAAAGGCTGAAGACTTTTAATGCAGTTTAGGCCGGTGGGCTCTAGAGCTACAGTTCTCAAAGTTTTGTGTACAGTCTCCTGGGGAATTTGGTGAAAGTTCAGATGTCCAGGTACCACCTCAGACCTTCTAAAAGAGAAGCTCCAGGGATGGAGTTGGGTGTGTGCATGCTAAACTCCCCAGGTGCTGCTGATGTTCACCCACATTTGAGATGTGATATTACAAGCAAACGTATACTGGGTTTGGAATCAAGAATGGGCTATTCAGTCAGGGCTCTGCACCATCTACAGATGATCAAGTGAAGAGATAAGGTTGGAACACATGATCTCTAAGTTCCTTCTAGCTCCAGCAGCCTATAAATCTACTAACTCATTCGCATGTGAAGCTCATCTGAAAACAATGATAAAATACAGCTTGCCCTGGCACAAGGTTTTTCTTTCAAGAACCCTGATTTCTAGAGATAGTTACTGTTATGTTTTCATGACCTCTTCATATGCAAAATAATAGGGAAATATTTGAACCCTGGTCTAACACAAATCCAAGTTATTGGGGAGATAAAATACAGTGTCCTTAAGGTTGACACAAATTCTGCCACAGCAAATCCCTCCATCTGCACTGATATTTTGGAGGCTAACCATATTTTGGAAGTGTCGTTTATATTTCAGAAATGAGAGAATTGGGTGCACTAACCTTAGGATGGAGCAATGTCATGTTAGGATCCAGCCTTATGTATCAGAGTCTTGACCCCACGTTCCTCACTACAGCCAGGTTACTTTCTCATCTCCTCAAAGAGGTCAGCAGGAAGCACAGGGGCCTACGAGGGTTGCAGGGGTGCTGCCTCACTTCCAAGATGCCCTTCCTTGAGCTGAACTGACTGATTGCTTGGCTGCTGGCCGTCTGGCTATTCACTAATTTAAATCTCTGAGATGGCTTATGGACTCCTGACTGCCACATCATCTGACTTCAAGCCCAAAGACCTCTGTCCTTTGAGCATCTCCTGGGGCTGGCCCTTGCTTTTGGTCCTGGTCTGTCCTTGGTTCTTCTGATCCTGGCTTCCTACTCTGTCTCCAGAATCACTCACAACCCATGGCCACTACTTTGTAGGATGAAAGGCACCACAGTATAGTTGGGGCCTAGGGCTGGCTGCATTTTCTAATGGAGTTTATTTGCTG